TGTGCAACATCTTTTATGGCACACTGTACAATATTCAACTGATGGCTTTGGACAGTATTCACTGGTTTTGACATTATTGATTGATTTTGCCCAATAATGAAAGAAATGATGGAACTTTTCAGTTTGTATCAGACAGCAAATTCTTGTAGAGTGTGCTCCTGGCTTTAGCTCCTTACAGTTGTACTGCCACCATCTTGTTTGCCATGAGTTTTTTTACCTTGATGCCTCTTCTCCAGACTGCTTAATTACGTCTGGAAAAAAAGTGGAACTCCGTAATGACAATCCCTCCCTCTCAGCGTGAGGTAAATGTGTTTCTGTCAGTGCTCTTCAACAATCATCATTTCATCAGCCTGGCTCCTGAGTCCAGAGAGAGTATTTTATTTTACTAATGTTATGAAAGAAACCTGCAGGAACGTGACCTGCGTGATGCTGACTTACCATCTCTTGATTCATACAATATCACTCCCACTTATATGCAAAAAAAGGTCAAATCTAAACAGTAACAGAGACTATTTTTATAGAGGACATCCTACATATATGCAATTATGGGCCTATATGATTTTTCATTTTGTCCCAAGGCATGCAGATTTATTCTGTGATATCCAGTCATTCAAAAGCAAGCGTAAAAACACAGGTTATTGCAGGATATTAAAGAAACCACTGAAAGCATTACAATGACTCTCTTTAAACACTTATTTAAAAAAAATAATAAATATTAGGGCTGTCAAATAATTAATCGCATACAAAAAAAAAAAGCACACACATACATGTATATATTTTAAATATATTTTTATATCTATTATATATACAGTATATATACATACATACATAGATAACATAATAAATATACTAAATATAACAAATTTTTTATCTTAAATTTATGCATGCATGTGTGCGTATTTATATCTATAATTTATGTATTTAGCAGACGCTTTTATCCAAAGCAACTTACAGTACATTCAGGCTATACATTTTTTACCAGTATCTGTGTTCCCTGGGAATTGAACCCATGGCTTTTTGCGCTGCTAACGCAATGCTCTACCACTGAGCCACAGGAACATTAACATCTACATAATAAATATACACAGTACACACCCATATATTATGTAAACACAATATTTTATTTTGGATGCGATTAATCGTGTTTAATCTTTAGGCAACCCTAAAATAATTAAAATACATTTTAAAAATAGTGTAAGATTTCCTTTGTAACTATTTAAACATGAAAGTTTGAAGTATAAAGATTGAAATAGTATTTTCTTGTAAAACATACTCAAGTAATCAATCATATTTATTTATTTTTCTTTGATATTGCTTCTATGACAACTTTTTCTTTTCTTTTCAAACCATGGTTTGCGGTTGCTTTTCAGAGTCCGGTGGTATTTATTTAAAAGGATGGCAGCATTCTTATGCTAAAGAGCATTTTATTTGACCAAAAAAATATAAAACATTACTAGTTCATTTAGTCAACATTTAATAGTTCATTAGCATATAGATAGCCTCAATGCTAACTCTCATTTTGATGCCATGGGTTTTTATCTCAGCTTTGTTCCTTATCATCATGTAAAGTGATTGTGTGATAAGTTGCAGGGTTTTTAATTATCTTTGGTTACACTAGCATTGTGGTGTTTAATGTAGGATTTTCAACTTCCATCTCAGAGAGTGGGCAGGCTCGTTACTCAACTCTAATCCAAACACTGAGGGCTAACAAGTTAATTTGTTGTCTTTTTTGTTCCGTGACTGGAAGTAGGCTTTTATTGAGCTTGAACAAAGCACACAATGGAATATTCACTGTGAGAGAGCAGGAAAAAGGTAGATCTACTGCATGTCGTCTGGCAGTGAGACCATAACAGAACTCAACTACTCTGAGATTGATTTTGTACACCAAGGTTGCACTATGGATCAGTGGTGCTGAAGCTGAAAGTATTTTCACAGCTAATGAAAGTCAGTGAATGCATAGCTAGTTCCAGTAATGTCATGGTTAGTGGAAAATAGAGGACCTCTAACTCTCAAAGCGAAGGTGTGCTAAAGAGAGGCAGTGCACTTCTACTAGTAGCACTCAAGCCTAAATCCACCAAAAATGCACAATGCGGTTCAAGACCATCTTTATAATTTTACTTATTTTGAATTTATTTTTGTTTTTGTTTTTTCCCCCACAGTTTCCTATTTCCCGTCCTGATTAATTCTAGGTGTTCCATGTTTTTCATTATTTTCTTTGAGTATTTGTTCATTTGTGACCCTGAACCACAAAACCAGTCTTAAGTGTCACATCTATACATCATCTGAAAGCTGAATAAATATTGTTCTATCCTAAAATAATATTGTTCTATCCTAACAAACCATATATCAATTCCATTGATATATGGTTTGTTAGGATAGAACAATATTTGGCCGAGATACAAATATTTGAAAATCTGGAATCTGAGGGTCCAAAAAAATTTTAATATTGAGAAAATCGCCTTTAAAGTTGTCCAAATGAAGTTCTTAGCAATGCATATTACTAATCAAAAATGAAGTTTTGATATATTTATGGAAGGACATTTACAAAATATCTTCATGGAACATGATCTTTATTTATTATTCTAATTATTTTTATAAAAGAAAAAAAAAACATAAAAGAAAAATCTATAATTTTGACCCATACAATGTATTTTTGGCTATTGCTACAAATATACCCCAGCGACTTAAGACTCCAGGGTCACATTTGTGTTCTCCTTTTATTTGTCTAGCTTCTTTTGATGTAAAATATATATTAAAATTGGTCTTCAATTCGTTTTAGTGTCCCTGTTTTCTACACCATTTGGTTACAGAATTCAGCATAGATGTAGCGTTGTATTCTGACTGAATATATTTTTCAAGCTACATGTAATCATGGATAATTAATTTTATTAATTTTATAGTTTTTGTTTACATTATAGAATATTATAGTATTATAGTATACTGTTAAAAGCACAAAGTGGTCTTGTAAACTGCCGTTCAAAAGTTTGGGGTCGGTAATTTTTTTAAATGTTTATGAAAGAAGTCTCTTATGCTCACCAAGGCTGCGTTTATTTGATCAAATATACATTAAAAACAGTAGAATTGTGAAATATTAATACAATTTTATTATATTACTTACAATTCCTGTGATAGCAAAGCTGAATATTTAGCAGCCATTACTCCTTCAGTGTCACATGATCCTACATAAATCATTCTAATATGCTGATTTGGCGCAACATTTCAAAATATTTTTTTATTATTATGAATGTTGAAAACAGTTGTTATGCTTAATTTTTCAGGTTTTTGATTAATAGAAATTTCAAAAGAGTTCCATTAAACTAGAAATGTTTTGTAATAATGCGAGTCTTTACAGTCACTTTGGATCAATTTAATGTGTCCTTGCTGAATAAAAGCATTCATTCTTTCAAAAAAAAAAAAAGGAAATTTTACTGACCCTGAACTTTTGAACAACATAGGTAATTTACATATAGAACTCTTAAAGGAACAGCATGTTTAATTCTAATGGCCATAGTGAGGGTAGAAAATTCTTATGTTAAACTAAATCATCACTGTTTCTGGTGCAAGAATCTTTGACTAAGTGCTAAAAAATGTAGAATGTAGTCCTTTCAAGTCTAGTAGCTCTGCTATCGTTGTTCTCCTACATTTCAAAGCACAAAGATAATACATAATCTTTTCCAAGCTACCCACCTGTAATGGTAATAGCCGATTATTAATCTACATATGTTCAAATACTCCAGCTTTTCATGTCAGTAGACCTTCTGTATCAGTGCTCCAACAGCAAAGCAGTTTCAGTAACGTCATCACTGCAGCAGCAGGCGGCTCTGCTTTATAATGGCATACATTTACTGCCTGTTTTTTCATATATTTCTATGATGTGGAGACAGACACATAGAGTCAGCATAATAGTGTGACTGGTGGGTCTCAGGGGAAAAACATATGTGCACTCGTTCTTCCACACATTCATTTATCACCCCCTTTCTCTCATCTCAGCACAAACTAATGGCCCTTAACACTTAATTGCTGTATCAAGCAAGCTCATACACTTTCTATTATGAAGGGAGCAAACCTCAATGGGCAAGTTGAGGCGCCCTAAATAAAAAGCAGTTCATTTTGAGCTCAATCTGATGTTTGGATGAGAATATTTAGATGGCAGTACATTTGACTCTGTTCTTTTTTCATATGCTGTAAATTGCACATCATTTGTTTTATGCTTACTCTCAGTCAGGACAGTCATCATTGCATGCAATAAGGAAACATAGGCATAAAAATGGAGTTCAAATCAGATTTAACTACTATTATTCAATTATGCGCACCAGCATCAGTTTTGCTCATACTAGAAACTTGTTTCTGCCACAGGGAAAAAAAATAAAAATTATAATAAATAAAAAATGTAATTGGGACTTTTTATCTTGCAATTCTTATTTCATGTTTGATAATTTAGACTTTTTTTCTCCCAATTAAGTGATGTAAATTCACAATTGCTTGATATAAACTCAGAATTGAGATGTTGAGTTGCTATTCTGAGCAGACAAGTCAGAATAGTGAGATATAAACTTGCAGTTGTGAGACATGATTGCCAGATATAAACTGATAATTTTGAGTTTACATATCACAATTTCAGTTTTTGTTTCCACCACAGATTAATAATAATAATAATGAAAGGTAGTTGCAACTTTTTATCTCACAATTCTGACTTTTTGAGTTTATATCTCATAATTCTGCCTGTTTTGTTTCTTGCAATTGCGAGTTTATTTTCTTTTCTTCTTAGAATAACAAGTTAACATCTCATAATTCTGAGTTTATATCACACAATTCTGAGTTTGTCTCACAATTCTGCCTTTTTTCAGAATCGTAATAAATTGTGAGATATAAGAATTGCGGGGGGGGGAAAGGGAATTCTAGAATAAAATATCTCAATTACATTTTCCATAAGAACCTGTTGTTCACAAAATGTAAAATATATATATTCATGTTAACTTGTTTACTGTCTCTGTCTGCAGGTGTGGCAGTGTGGCGGCAGTATGGAGGTTCTCCCGTGTGCCAGAGTAGCTCACATTGAACGCACAAAGAAACCGTACAACAATGACATTGACTACTATGCCAAGCGGAACGCGTTGCGGGCAGCAGAAGTTTGGATGGATGAGTTTAAGTCCCATGTCTACATGGCTTGGAATATCCCCATGAATGTGAGTGAAAGTTTTAGCAATCACGCTCACCTAACCTCATATGCTTGAGTCTAGACAGCCAACGGTTAATGGAAAATGATAGCTGTGATTAATTTTGTCCTGATTAATTTACTTGCGTGTCTTCTGTGCAAGGCACAACACACAGAACAAGGTTGTAGATTAAGTTTGGCAAATTGTCAGAGTCCGTTTTAATGTCGTCCTCAGCACACAATTACTGCAGTCATTGTCTTTGCAGTAAGTGATGCTGAGTTTCACACAGATATGCTGTAAATACATTATGCAGTATGTCAGTTTGAGTTTATTAATGAAGGGCACTTTTGTATCTTGCATTATCTAGTATTATAATTAAAGAAATATGCATTTAATTTTAAGAATCTTGATATGTAATCATAAGACTTTCTTCCTGAAAAGAATAGCAGAGTATTGAAAGCATAATTCAACCAGAGCCAGCACTTAAGTTATTAAAAGGTTTAATTGCACTGAAGTGTTTCAGGAATGGCCTTGGTCAATAAATGGAATGAGATACTTCACCACTTAAAAATTATTTCTCCTCACAGTTTTAAAATAGAAAACAAGTTCATAAAGCAGTAATGTTCAATTACACATGTACTATTACAAACACCCTCACTGTGCGTGTAACTGGTCTTCAGTACTGAGTAATGATAGTGATGTTTACTTATGAAAGAAAGCAGTGACATAACTGCAAAAGTAGTCTTTTACGCTGACAGTGCTACTGTTGCATATTCATACTGCAGATTTATACAGAAAATAAAGTGATTTATTCTCTACTACAGATTTCCTTAAATACTGGCGTTAATTTATAGAATAGTTATCTCAGACTTTTTCGAATAATGTGCGAGTATTGCTAGATTATGGTATGTTCATAAATAGCTGTTATTCATGAGCTGGTATTAATAAGAACGGTTAGGTTAATAGATAGGTTTAAAGTGAAGATATATATATATATATATATTATGGGTGTAACAGTACACAAACATGACAGTTCAATACGCACCTCGGTTTTGATGTCATGGTTTGGTACAGTTTCAGTACAGCAGGGGGAAAAACTAAACTTTTTTTTTTTTAACAAATTGCTCTTTCTTTAAATAAACTTAGTTATAATAAAAATGTTCTTAAGGATAAAAATCTCCCTTGGCTTATGCTCTAGTGAGCCCTTTTACATTAGACCTACTATAAGGTTACAGTTAACAACAGAGCCCAAACTTAAATTTAATTACTTTTTTAATTAATTTAATTTTTAAATATAACAAGCAACACTCAAAAAAAAAAAATGTATGCAAACATGTAAATTGCACATAATGTAGTTTTTAAATTAACTTCTAAATTATAAAAATTATATTTGTTGTTGAAATATATTATTTACACAGTGCCTCTCATTACTCGTTTCATAAGTAGATTTATTTAAACATTAAATAATTAAGACATCACTAACAGGTAAAGTAAAATATAATGAGTATATAGTCTAATATTTCGTGAAATGCTCTTCTCTCAACTTCATTTATAGCGCACTAATGAGCTGTGGACACTGATGACGTGCCTGAGGTAAATGAAATGCTACGTGGCATTTTGTTTACAAGCTGTTTTATTAGCGTCTTTCCAAGGTTGAAACACTGATTGGGCGATTACGTGAGGCATGAGATGTTCATTCATGTTTATTAGTAGTAAAGAGGAAGAGATGATCGCACTGCTGTTTGAACTGAGGCGTTTATACAGCGATTTGTCGCGCAACATCAAAGAGTGTCAAAACAGCATTTATTGTTAGAATTTCCTGAAAAAAGGACATAATTTGAAATATGAGACTTTGTTTCTTATTAAAAGTAACAATGTATAAAACTGGAAGTTTCCAATGAAGTTCCACTCGTCCAGTGTATTCAAATGTTTTGCATAAAACAGCGCCTGCCAAATGACAACTCACAGTCTCTTTCTGTTGTTCCAGAACCCAGGAGTGGATTTTGGAGACGTGTCAGAGCGTGTAGCGCTGAGAAAGAAAATGAACTGCAGGAACTTTCGCTGGTACCTCGAGCATGTCTATCCTGAGATGAGAATTTACAACAACACCATCACTTATGGAGAGGTAATAAAGACAAACCAACCCCTTATACAACTTTTAAACCAACAAAACCTTTCATAGAAAGGCATGTACTTTCACACACTGTTTAATGTCTCTATAATCCTGTGAAAAATCTATCATTCTGTTACACTTTTTTTGGCAGATATTAAAGTAATAATTCACTTCAACAGTTTGCTAAAGATTCTAAGTATATACTACCTATATATACTATCTACGTACGTGTGTGTGTGTGTCTATATACAGTGCTGCTTGAAAGTTTGTGAACCCTTTACAATTTTCTATATTTCTGCATAAATATGACACTGTTAGTTTAATGTCTCTATAATCCTGTGAAAAATCTATCATTCTGTTACACTTTTTTTGGCAGATATTAAAGTAATAATTCACTTCAACAGTTTGCTAAAGATTCTAAGTATATACTACCTATATATACTATCTACGTACGTGTGTGTGTGTGTGTCTATATACAGTGCTGCTTGAAAGTTTGTGAACCCTTTACAATTTTCTATATTTCTGCATAAATATGACCCAATTCATCATCAGATTTTCGCACAAGTCCTGAAAGTAGACAAAGAGAACCCAATCAAACAAATGAGACAAAAATATTTTCTTTGTCATTTATTTATTGAGAAAAATGACCCAGTGTTACATTTCTGTTTGTAAATGTAAGTGTCCATGGCAGAGCTGCAAGGAGAAAGCCACTGTTCTCCAAAAAGAAAATCACTGCCCATCTGCAGCTTGCTAAAGATCATGTGGACAAGCCAGAGGACTATTGGAGAAATATTTTGTGGACAGATGAGACCAAAATAGAATTTTTTGGTTTATATGAGAAGTGTTTTGTTTGGAGAAAAGAACACACTGCATTCTAGCATAAGAACCTCATCCCATCTGTGAAACATGGTGGTGGTAGTATCATGGTTTGGGCCTGTTTTTGCTGAATCTGGGCCAGGACGACTTACCATCATTAATGGAACAATGAATTCTGAATTATACCAGCAAATTCTAAAGGAAAATGTCAGGACATCTGTCCGAGAACTGAGTCTCAAGAGAAACTGGGCCATGCAGCAATACAGCTACCCCAAGCAACGACCCTTGTATTAAAACTAATACAAGATGTTGTGTAGGACTGATCAGCAGTTACAAGAAACTTTACCTGCAGTTTCTCATGCAAAATTGGGTTTCACATACTTTTGCACCGCACCGATATGTAACAATGGATAATTTTTGTCAATAAATAAATGACAAAGAAAACATTTTTGTCTCATTTGTTTGACTGGGTTCTCTATGTATACTTTCAGGACTTGGGTGAAAATCTGTTGATGAATTGGGTCATATTTATGCAGAAATATAGAAAAGTGTAAAGGGTTCACAAACTTTCAAGCAGCACTGTATCTATTGTCGCGGGGTGAATGAGAGCACAGACCCGGTACTGGTCGAAAGAGCCCCGGAGGGTGATTTATTTGCCCACACACTGATCACACGTGCCCTTGATGACTGGTGCTCGGTGCCTGTCTCAGAGTGGTGCTTGTGGGGTGAAGTGCCGTGGTGCAGATCCCTCTCCCTGGGTGCCTTCAGACTCTGTGAAATAAGGAGAACAATCGTTAATGCCGCCTGTTAAGCTCGGTCAGTTATGCTACAAGGGGAGTGCCCATTGCTCTGTTTCTCTAAATAATCCATTCACAATTTAAAGGAAAAGTTTTCTTTGTCTAAGAGGACCGAACGTCCAGATATACAAAATATTTCTATTTCAAATCAATAGTGTTCTTTTGAACTTTCTATCTAGCAAAGAATACTGAAAAAATGTCACGTTTTCCACAAAAATATTAAGCAGCACAACTGTTTTCAACATTGATAATAATAAGATCTTAATCGCCAAATCAGCATATTAGAATGATTTCTGAAGAATATTAGAATGATTTCAGAAGAAAAATTACTTTTTAAAATATATTTCATAGAAATTTTCATAGAAAACTATTAATGCTTCATATACAGTATAATAGTACTTTTTTATTGTATTTGCATCCCTGGTATATTGTACTTTACATATGATTACATTATTTAAGCACTGTAATTTGTGTCTATATACTGAATGGTAAAAACTGCAGTAATAAAGTAGAAATGTAAAGATAATTGGTTTCCATAGCAACAGTGTAGCAAGCATTGTGATTAGCTCCAATTTCCTCATAATGAGATTTAATGAGGCCCTTATTAACGTTGGAGTGTGTGTGGGTAGGAGGAGGGAGGAGTGTATGTGTATGTGTGTTAGAATTCAACAGGCCTAAATCTCAATAGAAGAGAAATCTTACAGTATTTTCAATTTGTTGAAGAAAAATGAGACCTGCATTTCTACACTGACCTCTGGAACTGCAGAGGTGGAAAATCTATAGCTATATTGGAATAGTTTGTCTCTGAAAATATCCCTGCTAGACCACAGATTCCACATATCTCATCCTCTGTCCAGTATTAGGTTTTATGGACGGTCAATGTTGTCATCTCCCAAATGGATTTGACAAGGCATCTGTGCATGCATTTATGTTTAACATTCAGAGCAGCACTAATGCTATAAACTACATTAGGTAGCTTAATAGTACACAGTGTGCTCACGCTTCTTGCGTCATGATTTAGCTACCTGTGTTTATTATTGTTTATTTATTTTTCAGGTGCGAAACAGTAAAGCCAGTGGATACTGCCTTGATCAGGGGTCAGAGGAGGATGACAGGGCCATACTCTACCCATGTCACGGCATGTCATCACAGGTTGGTGTGTTTTCTTTTTCTAGTGTTTCTAATTCTTTTTTATTAAAATTTCACCACTGGTTTGGGGGTCAGTGAGGGCTTTTTTTATTACTTATTTTATTATTTAAATTTTCTATATATTTGTTATTTTTAATTAATACTTTTACTCATCAAGGATGCATTAAATTCAAAGGTGACAGTACATTGTTACAAAATATTTATATTTCAAATCAATGCCTTTGAACTTTCTATTTAGCAAAGAATACTGAAAAAAGCTATGTATCACGGTTTCCACAAAAATATTAAGCAGCACAACTGTTTTCAACATTGATAATAAGCTCTTGATCACCAAATAAGCATTTTAGAATGATTTCTGAAGAATAATGTGCCCCTAAAAACTGGAGTAATGGCTGCTGAAAATTCAGCTTTATCATTACAGGAATGAATTACATTTTACAATATATTTCAATAGAAATCAAAAATGTTAATGCTTCATATATAATAGTATTTTTGACTGTATTTGATCAAATAAATGCAGCTTTGGTAAACATCGTAATGTTGCGAGGATGGGCAGAGGCGAGTTTTTAAGTGCACGCTGTTTGATGAAGAAAACTGAAACAATAAACCAAATAACACCAACAAAACTCAAGCAGAAATGGCAGCGACCATTACGATCAACAACAGACAAAGCACAAGAGAAACACAAGGGCTATTTAATACACAGGAGATCAAAAGGGACCAATGAGTTACTATGGGAACCAACAAGCAGATGGGTGTGGTCCAGTGATTGGCTATGGCAACTAATGAGGGTAACTATGGAGACAAACAAGGCACACCAGAAAGGGGCAGAACATACACAGAAAACATGTAGCATAGCCCCCACCTAAGAACCAGATTCCAGATTCTCCGCCCCAAAAAAAAAAACACAACAAAAGTCCAGGAGGGTGTTGGAGCGGAGGTGGAACAGGGGGAGGGATGGTGGGCCAGGCCCATGGAGTCGAAAAGGGCCTGTGGAGACTGAGGTGGAGCAAGACACCAGGGCAGGGTGACAGGACAGACAGAAAGTTCAGGGATGACCTCCGTGGTCGTTACAGGAGACACAGAGAGTTCAGGGATCGCCACCTCTTCGGGAGGTTCTGTAGCAGTCATCACCACCTCAGGAAATACTGCAGCGGTCAGCACTACCTTGTGAGGTTCTGTAGCGGTCGTTGCCGCCACCACAGAGAAATTATATGGCAGTCACCACCACCTCGGAAGGTTTTGCAGCTGTCACCGCCAATTCAGGGGATGCTAAGTCCAAAAACTCATGGGTATGGTTCTTGAGGGAGTGCTCGCCCTGGCGCAGGAGAGTAAGCTGCATACCTGTTAGAGTCATTGTACAGTCTGTTGTTCTGTAATGTTGCGGGGACTGGAGGGAATAAGCAGAGGTGAGTATCTAAGTGCAGGCTGTTTAATGAAGAAAACTGAAACAAACAATAAACCAAAACACAGGGAAACAAGGAACAAAACACAAGCAGAAATGGCAACTATTAAGATCAACAACAGACAAAGCACAAGAGAAAAACAAGGGCTATTTATACACAGGAGAACAAAAGGGACCAATGAGTTACTATGGGAACCAACAAGCAGATGGGTTTGGTCCAATGAGTGGCTATGCACACAGCAGAGGGCAGAACACACACAGGGAACATGTAACATAAGAAACAAACATAAGAGACTTTCTAAAACATTACAAAATCTTGTAAACCCCAAACTTTTGAATGCTAGTGTGTGTATTATATATATATTTAAATTAGATTTGTAATTGAAACACATTTTGTCAATCTCAGTGTACACCTATTTCACATTGGTGGTGCACTGCACCATTGCCTGGAGATAGAGAGCAGCTTAGGTTGAAATTACCTGTAAATTGTATCTCAGTTTCTGTGTCCTGTCCTTTCATAACTGCTTCTCTTGCAAAATAGTTGTTAGAAGTCATCAGTTTATGTGAATTTGACATCTAACATTTTTATTCATTCAGGTTATATGGATGTGGAATAATCAAACAGTTCTCCTATCAGGCTATGTATGACCTTTGACAGCGTGATTTGACCTTTTCGTTGTCATTCATACAAAATAGAGACATGCTCCTTTGAACAATTTAAAATACAGTCTCTCTTTCTCTTTCTCTTTCTCTCTCTCTGCTTTGTTCTCTCTTCCTCCCTCCTAAATCGTGTAAAGGAATGACAGTCTTAGTCCATAATCCAGGCCTAAGGGAAATAAAGCAATTGAAGTATATTCCCATTGTATCATCAAATTACAATAAAAGCTGGTTTTACATGATACAGCTAAGCTTCATTTTTTCCCCATGTTTTATCATCTCCTTGCCCAATGACAAATTAAAAACAGGAATGATTCATGGCTGCTGTGTCACTGAAGCCCCAGTAAAAATTAACCATTTGAAATTATTTATTTTCATTTATTTATTTAAATTAATATTACAAATATTGGTTGTGGCCTTGCAAATTCATTCAGAAATCTAAAGCATATTCAAGTGGGGGTTTTACCTCTTATAATTTTCCATGAATACAAAAAAAAAGATTATTATATTATTTGATATCTATGATCGTTTATGAAGAAAAAATGTTTTAATGTGTTGATTGTCAAGCTTGTTCAAACAGTCTGCCTTCTCCTACTTGTTATTGTTTTAATGAAAAATCCTTTGTTACTTTGTCCTCTGTGAGCTTGTCTGTGTGTGGTACATCATCTAAGTGAATGCATGGCCACTATGAGAGCTGGAATCAGCTTACAGTATGCATGAAGATGAGCTCACTCTATTGTCCTCCTGCTGTTTTCACCTTGGTCACTGGACAATTACCCTCGGTTCTATAGATTAAGTTTACTCAATAGTGCGAGCTTGATTTTCATTGAATGTCAGCTTGTACTTCATTGTGATGTGCTGACCTTGGGATCTGATATCTAAGAGATTGACTTTCAGCTGAATTATTGACCTGTGTTATTCAGTGCCGTGTACTTACCGTAATAGATAGCTGCTATCTAGACTTCCATCTCTCTAGACAGTTTGTGTACACTTCAGTGTGATGGTGCTTTTAATCATATAGCTAAGTACTACCTATATCTGTTGGAGTGTTCTTAAAGGAATAGCTCACCCAAACATTTTATTTTTCAGAGATTTAATCACCCTCAGGCCACATCTTGTAAAAGAGTTTGTTTTTGCATCAGAACAGATTTTGAGAAATGTAGCATCCCATCACTTGCTCACCAATGAATCCTCTGCAGTGAAAGGGGTGCCGTCAGAATAAGAGTCCAAACAGCTGATAAAAACATCACAATAATCCACAAGTAATCCACATGACTCCAGGTTATTAATTAATGTCCTTTGAGGCAAAAATCTATGTGTTTGTAATTTACAAATTCATAATTGAAATATTTTTAACTTGAAACCATGGCTTCCGGTCCTCTATCCATAATACTGATTTCTCCAGTGAAAACGTTGTCTAATCTGAATCAGGAGAGAAATATGCACAGATCAAGCACCGTTTACCAGAGCGTTTAACAGTACAAAACAGTTCTAAACAAATATGTTGGTGGATTGTGATGTGAGAGGACAACAGGGGGTGGAATTTTTCACTGGAGAAAGTGTTATTATGGATCATGGAGTCATATTTTGCCCAGAAGCAACAGTTAAAGCACCATAAAAATGCCTGTTTTTGTCCATACATTTAAAGCCACTGATGTCCAAAACAACATTGGACCCCACCGACTTTTATATGGTCAAAAACACACTGAGGCATTTTTCAAAATATATTCCACTGAAGAAAGAAAGTCACAACATGAGGGTGAGAAAATTATAATGGCATTTATGGGTGGACTATGCCTTTAAGCTGTATGTCTAAGACCATCCATTTCATTTTATATATCACATGCTTCCTTTTCTCACATTGTAACTTGATGTTTTGTTTCAGCTGGCAAGGTACACCACTGAGGGCTTACTGCAGTTAGGAGCCCTGGGGTCGACTACGTTTCTGCCTGATACAAAATGCCTGGTGGATGATGGAAGAGGAAAGACTCCGAGCTTGAAAAAATGTGATGCTGTCACCAGGTCCTCCCAGAGGCTCTGGGATTTTACTCAGGTAAGTGAACACACTTATACAAAACAATTTATTTATTAGCTTGCTGAACGCTTCATATTAATATTTTATTCTCCACTTGAGACTTTGATGGATTTTATGTAATTAAATGGAGAATGTCATTTTGTCAAAGAAAAACATTACTTTTAAAATAAACATCAGATATTTTAAACTGGATTCTTAAAAAATACTATTTTCTTTTTAAAAAGCACCCTTAATATATATTTTAATGTACGCCAATGTTTAAAAGTTTGGGTCTGTAAGATTTTTTTATGTTTTTAAAAAGAGGTTTCTTATGCTCAACAAGGCTACGTTTATTTGATAAAAAAATACTGTCATAAATATTTTTGGGGGATTGTTTATTCTTTTCTCAATATAAAGTTCCAAAGAACATCATTTATTTGAAATAGAAATCTTTTGTATCATTATGAATGTCTCACTTTAATACATCCTTGCTGAATAAAAGTATTAGTTTAAAAAAATCTTACTGACCCCAAACTTTTGTAGGAAGTGTGTGATGCCAAAAATAATAAAGTTCTTAAATATTTATTTCATAGAATGGACCCATCATAAGTCGAGACACAGGACGTTGTTTGGAGGTTGAAATGTCAAAAGATGCAAACTTTGGCCTGCGACTGGTCGTCCAGCGCTGCTCAGGGCAGAAATGGATTATTCGGAACTGGATAAAATACCCCAGACACTGAGGAACATCCAACCTTAAAAATAACCTCCCTGAGCTGGAGAGCAGCCATAGACACAAACCCTAAGTCTGGGGTTGAGACAGACGAGCAGAACTCTCTTTCGGGGTAAAATGCTTTCAATATAGATGTCTAAAGGTGAAATATTGTCTTTGGACGCATTTACTGTTGAGCGAGCAGATAAAGCAGAAGGCCGTCATCAAAAGAGAAAGACTTGCTCATGGCAAGTCCTCTGTACAGACTCCCAGTTTACTGCAGCATACTTGTGTTCCCGAGTGGAATTCCGATGAGCTGTCTTAGTGAAATTCCGAGAGAAATATTCAAAAGAGTTGCGGATAAACAAAGAGAGAGGAAGCGAAAGTTGCAAAACCCTCTGAGCAAAATCTCGATTTTTACTTCTTATCAATTGCCATATCAACACTTATTTCTTCAGGCTGTGAATTGCTTTGGATAATTGAATATCCACGTTGAAACTTTAAATGGGTATTCCAAGTGCTACAGAACAAAAAAGAAAGTAGTATAGACTTTAATAGTTTCAGCTATTTTTGCTATCGAGTATTTTCTTTCCTTGATTTACAGACTTAATTGCTAATGCACAACAAAACCATGTGTTCACTCAAGAACTCATGTGCCTTTCTCCATCTTTATGCCATCAGACCAGGGAATGTTGCTCCCTAAGCATGTACAAAATATTTGATTTTAAATTAATTAAAATATGAATATAATGTTAAGAGGTCTTATTGTAGAAACACGTTGTAAAATACTAAAACATGATAATCCAGGATAATCCAATAAAAACAAGTTTTCTTTTCTTTTGTACAATGTTGCGTGATTTAATTTATGTGAAAATCAGTAAAGAAAAATTATCAATGTTGATTAATATTATAGGATCGATGACATCACATTTGGAAGGAATAAGTATGAAAGGTTAAATTTTCTAGCAAAGTCAATGTGAAACGATGTTTGAAACCCATTGTATTTTAATGTGATTTTGTAAACAAGACTTGAAATTATGCATTGGAAATTGAAAAAAGTACACTCCTTTTGTGCAATGGCAAATGTTCAATAGATGTTAATGAAATAGCTCACCAAAAATGAACAATTGGCTGAAATTTATTCACTCTCAGGCCATCCAAGATGTAGATAAGTTTGCTTCTTCATCAGAACAGATTTGGAGAAATTTAGCAATGCATCACTTGCTCACCAGTGGATCCTCTGAAGTGAATGGGTGCCTTCAGAATGAGAGTCAATAAATAATCAGTGCCAATTAATAATAATAATTTTTAAGAGTGTAAGAGGGATTGGTATGTAAGAGGGACTAAACTAAATGGAAAACTGTAGAGGATGAATTCAAGTTTTTATGAATTTATGAAAGATTGGACTTTGCACTGAAAAATTGTTCAACGTAATGTATTCTCAGAAGGTAGACAGAATGATAGAATAATTCCTGTTAACATTTTTGCCTCCACAGTTTATTGTCTGAAGCTCTATATCTGAATTCCTGAGAAACTAGTTGAGAAAAAGAAAGGACAACCAGAGTTAAGCTTTGCATTTACACACATTTTCACTGCAGGATGTACAATCTACTCATTACAAACCACACAACTCATCACTAGAGCACTGAATGCTTCTCAAGCGATCAAACTCAGCATGTAGCTTCTCTTTTTTCTTTCCTCTGTCATCTGCAGTGAAAGCCACTCCATTTCTTTCCTCTCAAGTGTTTATTGCTCATGTATTCCTGAGAGAGAGAGCGCAATGCCTGACTATGGCAGAAACGCTTGGAAGAAGCCATCCAACTGTAAGCACTTCTTATATGACCACCTGTGTGTTCTCAAGCTATTTTTTTTATTTATTTTCCAGCACGTTTACTAAAAGAGATTGCAGAAACCTGCTCAGTCAGGCTTCAGCTGTTCAGCTTTCATAAACAAGCATCTTCTCCCTCCACTTGTCTACAAGGGGAAGGTTTTATTTAAAACCACACTGGAGACCCAACAAACGCTGTCGCTGCAAATTCACTCATAGCAGGCATGTGGTGCAATGAAACAAATAGGAGAAATATATTAGCGGACTGGGGTCCCTGTGTTTTTGCTTAGGCTTTTTACACATGACGAGGTTCAACGATGAAGTCACAGGAGGAAACGCACAGTGACCATGTATCTATGAATCATTCCACAATCTGCTTCCTTCAAGACGACCAACTAATGCAGTAGACCTGCTGAGCCCAGCACTTTGAGCCAGTAGTGGGAGAGCTGGTGATGCTAGTCGAATGATTTTGTGGTTAAATATAACAGATGAAATTAGTGCTTTCTATATTGAATAACTCAAAACCTTTTTTGAAAAGTTCAAATTAATTAAATTAAAGCTTAAACCCTTTCAGTCTGTCACTCCGTGTCACGTCGGTGACCGACGAATTGGGATCTCGCTTCGAGAGACCAATCTACTTCGAGTGTAAACTAAACGAGCCAATGCACATTGGCATGCGATGATTGCATCCAGCTGCCGCTGATTGCAGTGCGAGTATAATTAGGCAGCGGGTGCAACGCATACTCAGCTTTTCACTTTGGAGCCGAGCGGTTCTATTGTTCTGCTCTGCCTTTTCGTCTGAGAGGAATTCTTAAACGCCTGGTGTTGGTGTGATGGCACTGCAGCGGTGGTTCCACTGTGCGCTTCAGCACTTCTGAGAGAGCTATTTCCCTAAAAGAGCAAGACACGGGTTGCATCTTTTTAAAGATGTCATTCCACTCGTGTGTTTCTGGATGCAGTCACGATCACTGCATCTCGTGTTTGGGCCTTGAACACGCTGAGGCAGCCTTCGTGGATGAGTCATGCCGTCATTGTGGCGGTATGACCATCACGACGTTGCGGCTGAGACTCCAACACATCAAAGCAGGTGGAGTCTCCTTACCTATGGCCCGATCTAGTCACATTACTGTTCCGCAGAAGAGGGCTACTTCGGTGAATAGGGTAGCCTGAGGGTTACAGTGGGGCAGCATACAGGGTGAGCTGGAGTCTGGGTTTGAGGACTCGGCTGCACTGCCCCCTTCGGGGAGAGTGGCGTTGCCCGAGCCTGACCCAGAATTAACGACTATGCTTTCCTGGGCTGCCAAGGCAGTCGGGCTCGTGCGGTGGAGCGTGCGGTTACAATGCAATTGTGTCCAAGGAGCACTTCCACCTGGAGGAGTAACCCTTGTCTCCCATCCAGGGCCTGTAAGTTCTCATCCATGCTTACAGCCAAGGCTTATGGTGCCGCTGGACAGGCTGCCTCCGCCCTGCACGCCATGGCACTCCTGCAAGTATACCAGGCCAAGGCATTAAAGGAGTTGCACAAGGGTAGTTCTGACCCAGGGTTGATGCAGGAGCTGCGCACGCTCCCTGGGTCAGACGATGGCCACGTTGGTGGTCCAGGAACGCCATCTCTGGCTGAACGTGGCGGATATGCGGGAGACCGACAAATAACGTTTTCTCGACTCCCCTATCTCCCAGGCTGGCCTTTTTGGCGATGCAGTCGAGAGCTTTGCCCAACAGTTCTCGGCTGCCCAGAAGCAGACGGAGGCTATCAAGCACATATTGCCCCGGCGGCCCGCTGCTGCTTTCCCCCCGCCGCTGGCTGCAGCCGCTCCGCCTGCTCGTTGTCGAGGGCGCCCCCCTGCGGCTTCCTCCGCCCTTGCTTAGCCTCAGCAGCAGTGTCCACCGAGGCCACAGCGAGGAGCTGGCCACAGGGGTGCGGCGCCACCCGTCCAGGCCTCCGCCAAACCAGGCGCGCAAGCGGAAGTGCAAGCGACGGGCAACCCTGAGACGGGCGAGGTGGAAGGGACAGCTCTTTGGGAGATGGTGAGGGCCGGGTGGAGAATCCTTTGTTTCCTTTTCTTTTTGTTCCGCCACTGGCCTTTCAGCCAGCGGTACCAAAACCATAAAAAAGAGCAGTTTCTACCATCTTTGAGTTCCGAGAGGGCGCGAATGACGTTGAGTCACGCTATGCCTGGCCAGCCTCATCCCCCTCTACTATCGCCAGTGGGCAGCAAGGCCCGGTTCAAGGAGCCTTCTCCCGCGCCCCCTGTCCAACCGTGGAGCCAGGTATGGGTTGCACTGCACACCCAGACCCCACTTCGGGACGCTATGCTTTCCGAGTCGGGTCCCTGTCCTCCACCACACTGCCCCACTGTTGGTACGTCTGTGGTCCCTCTGTTCCCACTTGCATGGTTTCTGGGAGCCTGGCTAGCGCTTCCCAATCCGTCTCGCTGGCTCATTCGGACCGTCAGACTCAGCTGTGCGATTCAGTTCACCCGGCGTCCCCCCAAGTTCAGGGGCATCCAGTTCACCTCCGTGCTGACCAGCAATGCGCCTGTCTTACGGGCAGAAATCGCAGTCCTGCTGGCGAAGGACGCGATAGAGCCGGTTCTTCCAGTCGATATGAGGTTGGGGTTTTACAGCACTTACTTCATTGTACCCAAGAAAGGTGGTGGGTTACGACCAATCTTGGACCTGCGAGTTTTGAACCGGGCCCTTCACATACAACCGTTCAAAATGTTTATGGAGAAACGCATTTTCGAATGCATCCGTCCCCAAGATTGGTTTTACACGTACTTTCATGTCTCGACTCTCCCTCGGCACAGGCCGTTTCTCCGCTTTGCATTCGAGGGATGGGCATACCAGTACAAGGTCCTTCCCTTCGGGCTGTCCCTGTCGCCCCACGTCTTTAAGAAGGTTGCGGAGGCAGCTCTTGTTCCCATGAGAGAACACGGCATTTGCATTCTCAACTATCTCGACGATTGGCTCATCCGGGCTCAGTCGCGGGATCAGTTGTGTGAGCACAGGGACATGGTGCTCAGTCACCTCAGCCAGTTGGGACTTCGGGTCAACTGGGAAAAGAGCAAACTCTATCAATGCAGAGGATCTCTTTTCTTGGTATGGAGTTGGACTCGGTCAACCTGACAGCACGCCTCACAGAGGAAAATGTTCGGTCAATGCTGAACTGGCTGAATTTTTTTCAGGCGCAGGACAGCGGCCCCACTCAAAAAATTTCAGAGGCTCCTGGGATATATGGCAGCTGCAGTAATGCTGCTCGGACTGCTTCATATGAGGCCGCTTCAGCACTGGCTTCACGGCCGAGTCCCGAGATGGGCATGGCAACAGGGCACGCTCCGAGTGACCATCACTCCAGCCTGGCGCTGAACCCCATGGTTGGACCCCTCGTTTCTTCGGGCTGGTGTTACCCTAGAACCAGTGTCCAGGCATGTTGTTGTGTCAACAGATGCCTCTGCCACGGGCTGGGGTGCCATGTACAACAGACATGCTGCGTCAGGGTCCTGGACAGCACCCCGACTTCAGTGGCATGTCAATTGCCTCGAGTTGCTAGCAGTACGGCTTGATGTTCGGTCAATGTTGAACTGGCTGAATTTTTTTCAGGCGCAGGACAGCGGCCCCACTGAAAAAATTTCAGAGGCTCCTGGGATATATGGCAGCTGCAGTAATGCTGCTCGGACTGCTTCATATGAGGCCGCTTCAGCAC